AGCCATCACGATCAACCCAGCCAGCAAAGAAGTCTCGCCTAGGAGACGTACCTCCCACACAGCCACCAGCATCAACCTGGGACAATCACACCTACCTCCCTCCAACACAGCCACCAGCAGCCCATGCACCATCACCTACACAGCAGCCAGACCCCCTGTCCTGGAAGACAGACAAAGACCATGACACTGCTCCCCCTGTCTTTACATTTATAATGAATAGTTGGTTGAAAAAGTTCTGATATTGTAAATATTGAGATTTTACAGTTTCTTATGTTAACATAAATTGTTGGTTGAAAAAAAAGTTCTAATGCTCAATTTGTATTTGTACACATCACATGAACCTTAGTATGGAATATGAAGTCATGAATCAGTCCTGATGTAACTTTTCTGTGGTGAAAGCAGAGGAATGGAACTATTTTACACATGAATAACATGTCATTTCATCTATATAGGCCTATAGTGTAATTCATATAATTATTTCACTACTTTTGTAAACCAAATCTAAAACGCCCCAAAAAATAGATGAGATGAGTAAATAAGAGTTTTCACAAGAGTTTTGAGGTTTTCCAAAAATCGGATTTCTCATTTTCAGCTATCTCATAAGACAGTGCTCTAAGGTGAGTGACTTGCATCTCTAGCAAGACCAGAGAGTGTCCTGAATATTTTGATAAGTAACATATGGGGTGCCATGTTATAAGAAGTACATTTAAAAGGTGATTTAAGGAGACGTCTACATATCGAGAAAATATCCTTATACTCCAAAGGGTTAAGGAAAAGGGTAAGGCAATTGTATTTTATATATATATATATATTTTATATTGTTTGATTTATTGATTATATTCAAAGGAAAATTAATACTTGGTCCCCTGAATCTGGAATAATATAGAATTTACATGTCAGGAACAGATTGCAGATTGCTTTGGTCTGGCTTTACTCTTCACTGATTGGTTACGGACACTTTAAACTTAGTGGCTATGGAAATCAGAAGGAGGGGCTCATTATCATATTAAAAAGCGCGTATATTCGCGCGAACGTTTCTAGACACGCGAAAAACGCGCGTTTTAAATGGGCAAATGGTGGCACTTTAGGCTTTCGATACAGAGGTGGGGAGAGGCGGGGCTATTGCCTCATCATTATCAGAAAATGATCGTATAGGGTTTACACACGGAGCCGTTGGACCCCCCAGAGCGTTGCGTATGCCGTGCTATCCACCTTGGGACCCGTTATCGTTTCCGCAGTTGTTTACTGTCATATTCGGTCGTCCTAGTGTGGCCGAATGGTCTACTCTTGACTCTATATGACACTAAACAGTAACGCAAACGACCGTTTTCGTCCTCGTGGGGCCGGGGCCTGAGTCAGGTCCCTGGTGGAGATTGACATATAAAACGTTTACATTAATATTGGTGCTGTTAAGAGGTATTTCAGGCTTAGGTTGTTTCTCCAATGTATTTATTCTTTGCACGTAATTTGTTTTGATGATCACATTCAATTCAATCACATTCTGGTCAATAATGTTGTGGGCTAAAAACGATGAACATTTAGCCTAGTTGTATTTATCTCTTATACCTAGGAAAATTAAGATTTACATAATGAAGGGTAACTTGTTTTTATTTGTGCATACGATAATACATATTTGACCTAATGTGAATGGTGTTAACATGGGGTCAATGTGGATCGAAAAGATGGGCTAAACCTGTGGGAGAGCTAAAGTGATTATAGTGGGGCCACCAGGGTGTGTAGATCATTAATGGGAAAACGTTTTTTTAGTGGTGGAGTTTGAGCTGAGATAAGTAACATTGAATGTTTTGTTGTTTTAAATATGACTAAAAACATGCTTATGAACATTGTGTTTTATATTATGCTCTTTGAATTTGCATGTGATAGAGCAGCAATGGGCGATGTTTCTAGGTGGAGCTCAGAGGAGGCCGCATGTCTGTGGTGAGGCTGAAGATCCCTGTTGTGTCTCAGGTTATCTGTCAGATCAGCGCTACCTTGGAGCTACGGTGGGCCGCGTGGCCAACAGGATCGCACGGGGGCACTTTGTGGTGGAGGGGAAAGAGTACCGACTCGATATCAATAATGGACCCAATGCACTGCATGGAGGGCTGCGAGGCTTCAATAAGGTAAGACAGGAAGTGGATAAGCATCCGTGCAGACAGGGGATTTCTTGATATACTCACCTGTTTTTGCTGTACTGTAATGCGACATGCTATTATTGAGAACACTGCTCACTAAATGTTGCTTTCTAACTGTGAAATGAGCGTCACAGACATTCTGCTGGGTCTCATCTATTATCAGGATAAATGTTCATTAATCCATGTGGAACAAATGTGCTCCCTATAACTTCAGACTGAGCCATATAATCATTGATTCATTTGTATTAGTCAGCTATGCTTACAGCGCTGTTAGGCTGTAATTATACCTCCGGGGATTCGGTGCACATCAAAGGTGCCAAGCTGCACACCAGACAGAAGAAGACAGTGTCCCCATCAGCATCTGAGAGCACACATGAGGGGGGGTCCATGCAGCTGCTGGGGCTACTTTGGCTTTATCAGGGAAACAGAGGAACACACAATGTTCTGTGAGTGTGTTGAGTGTGTACATTCTTATGCCTCATATTACTACAAAACTAAATGACTGAACTAAAGGTACACGTACATCCACTTCAGTGAAAGTTGAGTTAAACACAGGTTAGTGTTGTATTCAATTTTACAGGACCAGTGTTTGTATCCCTTGATCCGGCTGTAGCTTGCAAATCAGCCTCTGCAGTCAACATGTCCAAGTGTACTTAGGCATGACACTGAACCCCAAATGGTTCCTGTAGGCATGTCTACGGTATTGAGTGTATGTATGTAAGGTGCTTTGGATTGAGCCATGTAATAATAATAACTTCCCTTCATAATGCTGTATGTGTCTGAAAACAATTTCATAACATTCATCTGCTACTTAGTAATTATCTATCTATTATCTAATATATAATTCCAATAACTTGTATATAGACTCGTATTGAACTATTCCAGTTTTGTTTTACTTTTAATATAATATACTTTAATATTGTCTGCTTATCTGTATTATTGTGTTGCATTGTTGGAGAAGCCTGTGACCTAAGATTTTCAACGACATAATTACTCTGTAGCTATGTTAGTTTGACAATAAAGAACCTTGAACCTTGAACATATCTCTTCAGGCGATCTGGCTGGCTACAGCAGTGGAAGGCGGAGTACAGCTGAGTCTTACCAGTCCAGATGGGGACCAAGGTTATCCTGGAGAGGTGCAGGTCTCTGTCTCCTACACACTGCAGGTAAGCACATCTGATCCCTCCTCCCCCCCCCCTGCATCCCCAACACTTCTCTATTTTTCAACACAGTGTGCAAACAACTTGGGATGAACAGGATGTGGAGGAATAATAGTATTTGTTTATAAAAGTAGGAGGAAGACCTTTCATTTCCTCAATACATTTAGCTTAAACATAGCAGAAACCATCTTAAATTTGTATTTAGTTCCACTAATTAAAAAAGAAAACTTGTTAGACTTTATATTTAAAAAATATGTTTTAACCCACAGATGAAATTGGTTTTAATTGTGGACCAGTGTTTTGCAGAGGCAAGCTGAGTAAGGTTTGTGTTGTGTGTTCAGGGGGAAACTCTAACTGCTGAATACCAAGCCCGCTCTACAAAGACCACCCCCATCAACCTCACCAACCACTCATACTTCAACCTGGCGGGACAGGTGAGACGCATGATCAGCTGAATGTCATCCCACATACACTATCAGTCATCATAATTCTGAGAGAGCAGGAACTTTGATGGCAAACACTGATGGTTTATTTGGAGCTTCGGCCGGAGAATTCACAAGTGCCAAGAGTTGACCACACGGTAGATGCCAAACGATTCTGAAGATCTCTACCCCAGACCTATGTATTTAGCTAGTTCTGAGAGAAGAATCAACATTGTGCATAACAAGATAGAATCATAACACCTCTATCAGCTGACGCTAGCAGGCAGGAATAGGGAGACAAAACACTGAGAGGGCAGCTGTGCTCAGCGAGGGCAATACAGACTGATAAACTGGGTCAAAGTTAAAGGCCTTGGAAAAATATTTCCCCTACATGTTAGAATGAGGAAAGTGAAGCTAGAGGAAGGCAGCAGTAAAGGAGGTAGGCTGGGAGAGATGAAGTCAGTAGGTGGTTCAGATCCAGATCTGCTGAGAAAGAGAAACCTGAGAACAAACAACACACAAGGTCATATGTTGACACACACACAGGAACTACATTAACTGTCGTGGCTTCCTTCCTTGTTTTTCCATCAAGCCACTAGACGCCTTAAACAGACAGTTCTAACTTGTTTCTTTCCTTAAATTAGGTAACTCACAGTGTGAAGTGTTGCTTGGCCTCCGATGGTTTAGAAGATGTTGCGTGATATTGATGTGTTTGCTCAAAATAAAATAACAAACTTTTGCACATGCAACCAAGAAAAATAGGCCTTTACAATATTCAAAAGAAATAGGCAAAACTCAAATAAAACAAACAACTTAGGTATTCTTTCTTTCGTGATAATGCTTATAACTTCACAACTTAAATTGTACTTGTACGGTTTGTATGTATGTGTACGGTACGAGTACGAGTACGTTACGGTTAAAAACTGTTCCTCAACGGCGTCTCTCAACAGGTTGCCCATCACTGTGGCGTTAGCACAGGCGCCGTGGGAATTGTAGTCCTTTATAGTGCGTTGACTACAGACTTCACAATTAGGTGGCCTTTCTTATCAAATCAGAATACTGGCTCTAACATTAACATTTGACCTTCAAAGAGAAGTCAACTACACTTTTACATATTCAAGTAAGAACTCCTCTATCCAAACTATTCTTGATATATTATAACATTCAACTTTTTTATAACTTCATGAATCCCTGCCAAAGAGGGTCAGCACTTAGTTCAAACCCAAACCAAGGAATTAATCAAAATACTTAATTATTCCCAGACAGGAATTAGGTATTGTGACACTTGCACCATATTAGAAAAAAACAAATTAAATATGTATCTACAGATGTAGCGATCCATTTCAGACAGTTTGAAACGCGAGGGCCGTGATTGGTACGTGATCTGCCCTCGCTCAAGGGAAAACCTCCAGCTTGACTTGAGACCGCCCCCATGATAGATAAATGTAATTATAATGAAGCCAGCTGCAATGGATCATTGATCCACCAGGGGGTGCAGTGGGGTTCCACACTGGAGCTCATGTGAAATAAAGTCAGATACAGTACGCTGGATGTACAGCATAGACGTCGGAACTAGGGGTGCGGGGGGTGCGGCAGCACCCCCTCCCGTCAGCCTCAGGAATCACAGGATTAGCCTACGTTAAAAAAATAAAAATAAAGATTCTGAATTTAAACTCAATTTGTCTGACTTACATGTATTTCTTAATACAGATCTTTTGATGTGATATGCACCCTGCCTGGCTCAATACAGCAGCCTGGCTGGCATGGCATAGCTGTTGCTATGCAGACTGCATCTGACAGCTCACTGTGACGTTGGCCTATGTGTAAAAAAAAAAAAAAAAAGGTAGCGGGAATTTTTTTTATGTTTGCTGTGTTCGCGGCTCTCATTTGTTTTTAGCATATGCATAGGCTACATGATTTGAGTTCAACTACGCCAGCTAGAACTAGCCTATGTCTCA